ACACACACACACACACACACACACACACACACACACACACACACACATCCTCTCTCTCTCTCTTACACACACACACACACACACACACATCTATGGGGTGAATTTGTATTTGTTTAAAAAGCACACAATTTGTAGACAGTCAGTCAATGTGGCATTTTATAAATTCCCACTTTAGAAATAAAACCAGTCTGACTCCAAACCAAAACACAAACAGATTCTAAACAAGACCTCACACCTAACATACATTGGCTGACCTAAAATGTCACCTCTTCTTTACACTAATAAAACCTTTAGTTCTCCCAGGACAGTGACTTGAAACGAATTTCGGGATTTACATATACACATTAATCAATTAAAACCTTCTAACTGATTAAAAATTTAACAGCATCTTAGGTTTGTTTAGTACATCCTCATCAATGGTGTGAACCTTTGATGTTCTCCTTATAAATTCTGTGTCTGATACTAATTCTCTCACTAACACCTGAAGAAGGACTAAGGCTCCAAAAGCTTGTGTTTTCAAATAAACCTGTTGGATAATAACCTGGTGTCATGTGATTTCTGATGATTTCTACGAGAACATCTTACATTTTTCTGAAGTTGAGAGAACATGTAAACGTTGTGAAACTGTGAGAGAATTGACAACTGTTCTTTGTTTCTTTGTGTGAATGTCTTACTCCCAATTAATGCAGAACGGTGAGGAGAAAAACACCAAGTCTGGCCAGTCTGTACATGACTGAGCGAGAGCGTACATGTATTGGAGTGTGTGAGTGTGTGTACATATGTGCTTGAATGTATGAGTGTCAATGTTTGTATATGTGTGTATTCAAGTGTCTGTGTGAGTACATCTGTACTGTGCGTGTGTGTGTCTGAACACATTTGCGTGTGTATCTGTATGCGTGTGAAAGCATTTCACTGAATTTGGGTGTGCACGTGCACGTGTGTGTGTGCGTGCATGCATGCACTTGTGTGTACAAGTGTGTGTATGTGTGCACACATGCACTTGTGTGTGTGCGTGTGTGTGTGTGTTTGTGTGTGTGTGCACACATGCACTTGTGTGTACAAGTGTGTGTGATTTGTTGGTAGTTGGGTAAGCCAATTTAAAATTATATAAAATTCAGTGTTTTAACCTTGAAGAAATGGAACCAAAGCCAAAACTCTGAAACCAGCAAACATCGGGAGCAGCAGGAAATGACAGGTCAGAATGTTTCACTCAGCACAAAGGGCACTTTCAACCTGACACTCAACAACTCCTTTATTTATATGGCGTCTTTTACAATGAGCTATTACGATGGGTCACCTCTTAGCTCGGTGAAAGAAGAAGGTCTTTTTTTAAAGGAGGTAGCGACATGAAGTAGGTTAGCAAGAGAACGAGGGCTCATGGTCTCAGTTTTAGAATGCCTGGCCAAGAACAACACAGCTCTTCAATTCATGCAAGAATACACATGTCAAACCCTTCAGCCCAAGTCAAAACTGACATGTGGAGGCAGTGCGCTTTCAGTAGGTATTTGGGGCTTCCTACCTGTTATATCCATTGGTTTCTCTGTGTTTAGGCTATCGTTGCTGACAGGGTCCAAAGTGGGTCCCCCAAATGCTGCCTTCAGTAGTAGATCAGACAGTTTGCCAGCACTGAGTGACCTGTGGGTTGAGCAGGAAATTGATGAGCATTTGGACCACAAGATGCTTCTCACACATTCATTAAAAGTTAGAGGCAGTAATACATCAGAGACTCAACGACAGGTTCCCATTGCTGCAACACCATTTCATTTGATTCAGTGGATGTTTGACCCATTGTCTGAAACTGTAATCTCAGGGGGACATCAAAGGGTTAATCTCAGCAATGACAGCTCAGCTTCCTGGTCTCAATAGCAAAGATCCAACTGAGTCAAGTGTCGTATCCCTTCTATCTCCTAGAATTGTTACAACACAGGTGGCCATTCAGCCCATAAAATCTACGCCAGCACTTTTGAAGAACAAGTCTTTATCCAATTCCTTTTGGAGAGTTACTGTTGACTGTGCCTCCACCATACACTCAGAAAGTCCACTCCAGATCCTCAGCACTCACTATGGAAAAAAAACCCTCATGCTGCCTCTGTCTTTTGTATAAATCACCATAAATCTGGTTATAGCATATTTGAGGAGTAGTGGTGTTACTGGACTAGTGATTCAAGTCCTTGACTAATACCTTAATGACATAGGTTCAAATCCCATCATAGTGAAATCTGAATTGAGCAAAAGTCTGGATTATTTTAAACTGTAAAACAGCTTCTCTCATGGTGACCATTGGTGTGAAAACCCATCTGTTTCATTAGGGAAGGAAATCTGCTGTCCTTGCCCAGTCTGGCCTACGTGTGACTCCAAACACACAACAATGTGGCTGACTCAACTGCCCTCTGAAATGGTCTGGAGAGCCACTCACATCAAGGGCAATTAAAGACAGGCAACAAATGCTGGCCTTGTCAATGATGCCCACATCCACACTTGTGGGACATGGATATCACTGGCCGGGCCAGCATTTATTGCCCCGGCCCTATTTGCCCCTTGAGAAGGTATGGGTGAGCTGCCTTCTTGAACTACTGCAGTCCGACTGCCTGTAGGTTGACCCACAATGCCCTTAGGGAGGAATTCCAGGATTCTGACTCAGTGACACTGAAGGAACGGTGATATATTTCCAAGTCAGGATGGTGAGAGGCTTGGAGGGGAACTTGCAGGGGGTGGTGTTCCCACCATTCTTCAGGCATTGGACAAAAGTTCTCTTTACTTAACCTCGCTAAACCCTTCAAGATTTTAAACACCTCCATTAAATCTCCTCTTAACCTTATCTAAGGAGATCAACCACAGCTTTTCCTGTCCATTCACATAACCGCATCAAATATCTTCAATGTGCATCCTCTGATTACCAATCCAGCTGCAAGGGGAAACTGTTTCTTCCCATTTTTCTTTTTATCAAAATCCTTCCTCATTTTAGAATCACTTATTCACATTGCGTCTTCAATTCTGCTCTCAGCTCAAAAATATTGTGCAATAACAGTCAGCAGTAGCTCTGAATTAACAAGAGAAGCCTCTCTTCAGGCAGTCAGCAGCATTGGGGAAGGTGGAAGTGTGCTGAGAATATCAGCAGATCGATAAACCAGGCTGATGCTCTGGCGCTGTCGGTTCAACTCCCACAATGGGCAGCTGGTGGAATTTAATACTATCAATACATTTGGAGTTGGATGAAACTATTGTTGAATGTTGTACGAAGTCTGTTCACTAATACCCTTTAACGAAACTGCCAACTCTTAAAAGGCTGAGCAAACTGCACAGTCCAAGGGACAAGTAACAAGTGCAGGCTATATCTGTGTAGCCCAGTTCCCAATTAAAAATACTCACCATTAAAATAATGACTGATTTATGTCTGTCGAGGCATATGCAGGGATCGGGTAGGAGAGTAAGGGGGTGGGTCTGGGCGGGGGGGAACGCTCTTCTCTTCACAGGGTTAGTGTGGACTTGATGGGCCGAATGATCTTGTTCCACACTGTAGGGATTCTATGATTCTATGAGATGAATGATGCCATTCAGGACCATCTACTATCCCAGTATCCAATTTCAATTGTATTTGTGTTAAACAGAGTCTGGACCTGACCATGGGGTAGGTTTGCTGCTACCATTCTCTTTAAGGGCGGGGATCTGCATGGTCTTGGGGGGTGGGGGTTGGAGTGTAGAGGAAAGTTAAGACCACTGACTGGACCAATTAGAAACAGCTCTTGTATTAGACCGGAAATAGTTTACTGCAAGTTAGTAACTAGTTACAGGTTACTTGAACATAGGGGCACGATGGCCTAGTGGTATTATTACTAGAATATTAATTAGAGCCCCACGTAATGTTCTGGGAGCCTGGGTTCAGATCCAACATTTGGAACTTGAATTCAACAAAAATGCAGAATTAAGAGTCCAATGAAACCGCTGTTAATTGTCAGGAAACCCATCTGGTCCTTTGGAGAAGGAAATCTGCCATCCTTACCCAGTCTGACCTACATGTGACTCCAGACCCATGGCAATGTGGTTGACACTTAACTGCCCTCTGGGTAATTAGGGATGGGCAATAAATGCTGGTCTAGCCAGCAACACCCACATCCCATGAGTGAATTTAAAAAGCAATGATGGGCATTGGTACAGAGGCAATGAGAAGGGCCTGGATGTTTGGTCTTACTCCTTAGAGATCCTAAGCTAAGAGTGCATATGAGGTCATTATCATAGTGGGCAAAGCTCATACACTCACTGTTAACAACACACAGAACTCTGTCTTGAAAGAGTCAAGAGTTTACACTTGTACTTCATGTAATCTCATAACTGTCAAGAATATGCGAGGGGTATATATATATATAGGATAGTCGCTAATCAATCCATGAAAGAACTCAAGAAATTTCTTCACCTATACAGAGCGATGTGGATGTGGAATTTGCCACCATAGAGAATGGTTGAGGCAATCAGTATAGTCACATTTAAGGGATAGGTGCATAGGGGACAAAGGATTTGAAGGATATGCTGATAGTGTGAGATAGAAGAGGTTGAGAAGACGTTTATGCACAGCATAAATACCAGTATAGATGAGTTGGGCTGAATGGCCTGTTTCAATGCTGTACAGTCTCGCGAATTCTCTATAAAGTATTGATCATTCTCTGTTTGTGAGGGAAGAGCATCAGTCCTAAACGTGGCTTTTACCAGCTTCATACTGATACCTTAGTGACCCAGTGTGGTTTTACAGGGACTGTATTAGTATTGTCAAAAAGCTGTGGGTTAGGGTTAATTTGCAAACCTGCCAAATGGTTCCTTGATCTCATCGACAGGTTTCAATCCGACGTTGATGTGCTGGTTCTGGAGGGGGCTCAGGGTTGGCACTGTCCTGTTACGAGCTGAGGCTAGTGAGAGGCCCTGGTGAGTGAGCAGTGTGACTAGGTTAGGAGAGCCAGGTGTCTCAGAGAATTCGAAAAGAGACGGAACCTGCAAAAACAACATGAAGGAGTTTACATTTTTCTCAAAATCAATACTTTTTAAAACCATTTCCAATAAAAGGTGCATGCTTCTACTTTCTCCTACTGATAGAAATGTTCAAAAGTTCTCTGCAAACTTATGCTTTTCGTATAAAGGTGAGGTAAAGTCACTGTTGTTCCACAGAGAACTGGTTGGGAGAAATATGACTGGTGATGGCTTAACCTGAGGGTCACCATGCCTTTGGTGAGGGGAGAGGTTGAGTCTTTCATGGTGACCTCAGCTGGGGTGTGGGAACTGAACCCATCACTGTGCACCACTGATCTAAACCAATTCCCTTCTACAATCCTCCTCATTGACAACCTACACATCTTCAATGCTCTGTGATTTTACAATTTGTTGAACCCTGGATTTCACTGATTAATGTCCTGTGATCTACATGGACCAAAGTTCAAATCCCCAAAGGGATCCGTGGTGATGGGTACCAGTGGAAAGCATCCAACCCATGTTTGCCTGACATTGCAGGCCCCCCTCCTGCACAGTCTGTGTCTGGTCTCGTCTCCCTCCAGGGAAAGGCACCCACTCTTCCCTTACCCTGCAACCCATCACAAACTTGTTCTCCCCTCACTCAAACCCGCATCTGAATCCTCTGGCTCCTCTCCCAGTCTGGGGTTGCCATTCCTGGAGGCAAGGGACAGGGGATAACAGGCAGGAAAGGAGAAGTAAGGCCACAATCAGATCAGACATTGAGTTCAGAATCTGAAGAAATTTTACATTGATGAAAAGTGGACCGACCTCATTTTCCCTCAAAACTCATAGAGTCCCCAAAGTGCAGAAAGCAGCCATTCGGCCCATCGAGTCTAAACCAACAGATTGAACAGCATCCCACTCAGATCTACCCCCTCCAACCTCTGCATTTACTATGATTAAGACACCTAGACACTACAGGCAATTTAGCCTGGCCAATCCACCTAACTTGCACACCTTTGGACTGTGGGAAGAAACCGGAGCACCTGGAGGAAACCCTCACAGACACAGGGAGAATGTGCAAACTCCACACAGATAGTTGACCGAGGGTGGAATTGAACCTGGGCCCCTGGTGCTGAGAGGCAACAGTGCTAACCACTGAGCCACCGTGGAAAAGGAATTCTGCAAATCCAGCCAAGGGTGCCCCCCCTCAATGTGAGCTCCTAAGAAATAGGAACCAACCCTGGACATAAATTTTCTACACTCAGATGAAAATCACATGAATTAATGCCCACATCTTTGGTTTTTATATGAATTAGAATTTAACTCTATTCCTTTTCTCCTTTTCTCTTTCTCCCTCACATGCCTATTTGTGTGTGCGTGAGAGTGTGTGTGTGTGTATGTGTGTATGAGAGTGTGTGTGTGTAAGAGTGTGTGTGTGTGTGAGAGTGTGTGTGTGTGAGAGAGTGTGTGTGTGTGTGTGAGAGAGTGTGTGTACGAGAGTGTGTGTGTGAGAGAGAGAGTGTGTGTGTGTGTGTGTGTGTGTGTGTGTGAGAGAGTGTGTGTGTGTGTGAGAATGTGTGTGAGTGTGAGAATGTATGTGAGTGTGTGCCAAAGTAACCATCCATCAGGTTCAAATGTGTGAATAAAGCGCATTTGTGTTTTAACCCTGAAGAGTTAGCTGAGGGTCATTTTAAAATTGGATTTCACAAACAGAGAGCTCAGGGCAGAATAAACCAAAGTCTCTGTCAAAAGGGAAAAGAACTGACATTTCTTGAAATAAAAACTCTGCCTATGAACAGAAGAGAAGGATAAATAAGAAAATTCAATTCACCTTTCCTTCTCAACTGTAATACAATTGAATTCTGTGAAACAATGATGATCAGGCTGGGTTATGTCAAAATTAATAAATTATTTCAATTGTATAGTTTGGGGAGGACCAGTAAGTTAAACAAGGATGGAACCAACATTACTAAAATCAGGGCATTTGGCCATTATCCCACAGCTGATTGTGGGATCTTGCTGAGCATAGTTGCTACATTACAATAATGAGTTCAAAGGTACTGCATTGGCCACATAGTACAATGGGATGACTTTGAGATTGTGAAAAGCACGACTGAAATGCAAGTCTTCCTTTGTTAATTAATATTTTAGCAAAAGTAACGGCACAATTCTTATAGAAATTATTCAGCACAGAAGAGGCTCTTTAGCCATCGAGTCCGTGCTGACCAATCTACACTAGTCGCACTTTCCAGCATTTGGTTCAGGCCTTGAATTTTAGGAAGGAGAGGTAAATGGTATAATGCTGGAAATCTGAAATAGAAACAGAAACTGTTAGAAAGTACTCAGCAGGTCTGCCAGCCACTGTAGATAGAGAAGCAGAGTTAATGTTTTAGGCAGAGATAACATAATTTACAGTGAAACAGAATTTCCCAGTTGGGTATTACCTTTGTTGGAGAACCCACGATGGTTGGGAGAGGGCTTCGCTGAATTAATTCCGAGAGTTTAGGAGAGGACCTCATCTGCCTGCAAGGCTGCAGGGGCTGGTTTTGCGGTATACAGGTCACCACTGGCTCAGTGTATTGTTTCCTCATTTTGTGCTGACATTGGTGTGTGTCTGAGAGATTAGGAGCGCTGTGCAATCTGGAACCCAATCTGTGCTGGTGTGGCTCTGTCAGGAAAAGGCCTGTTTACAACAGGGGAGTCAATCAATTGGTCCACACTTAACACAGCATCATAGCAACAGTAACACAGTAAAGTGGTGAGATCTCTGGCAGCAGTATGGGATGTGGGCATCGCTGGCCGGGCAAACATTTATAACCCATCCTTAACTGCATCTTTGAGAAGGTGGTAGTGAGCTGCCACCCTGAACCACTGCAGTTCATTGTGTTTATGGACCTGCAAGCTGCTGTTATAGTCATACGGCATGGAAACAGACCCTTCGGCCCAACTCATCCATGACGACCAGGTTTCCTAAACTGAACTAGCCCCATTTGCCTGCATTTGACTCATATCCCTTTGAAACTTTCCCATCCACGTAGCTGTCCAAATGTCTTGTAACTGCACCTGCCACATCCTCTGGCAGAGACAACAAGGTGCAGGGCTGGATGAACACAGCAGGCCAAGCAGCATCACAGGAGCAGAGAGGCTGACGTTTCGGGCCGAGACCCTTCATCAGAAAAGGGGGAGGGGAAGGGGGTTTTGAAATAAATAGGGAGAGAGTGGGAGGCGGATAGAAGACGGATAGAGGAGAGGATAGGTGGAGAGGAAACAAACAGGTCGAAGAGGCGGGGATGGAGCCAGTAAAGGTGAGTGTAGGTAGGGAGTTAGGAAGGGGATAGGTCAGTCCAGGGAGGACGGACAGGTCAAGGGGGCGGGATGAGGTTAGTAGGTAGGAGATGGAGGTGCGGCTTGAGGTGGGAGGAGGGGATAGGTGG